CTCCCTCTGTCTCTCTAACTCTGCCTTTTAAATAAACAAATAAGTCTTTAAAAAAAAAAAACAATGAAAGGGATCCACCAGACTTTGCAAGTTGCTGAGAGAAGAAATGACATTGTACTTGGGTGATATGGTTCCTACTTGAATCACACCTGATTTGCCTCCCCTCATTCAGAATAGTTCAACACTCCTCCAGACGAGCAAGTGAAGTGCTCCAATCCATTCTGCAGCTATACTCATACAGATGTAACAGCAAGAGTTCCTTCACCTTACAAACAGAACAAACAGCAGTGAAAATTACTTATGCACATTACCATGACTATGGAAAGTGAACTGCGGACAAGTTGGTCTCTGTTAATTCCTCTGAGAACTCCCAGTGACTGTTCTCTAACCAGTCCCAGTTACCCTGTGCTCCTTTAGTTACAAAGCTATCATCTTCCCAACCATTTAAAAACCATGTTGTAGGGGTGCTTCTCACTTTGAGTTCAAACAGCTTTTAATACTCACCAAATCTCAGGTTAATCTTTGTATTGTCGTTCTACTCTGAACTGCAATAATCCCCTGTGATTGACAAAGACTCCTCAGTCAGTGCTTGCCCACTTGAATACACAGGGGCTGACCCAAGCCCTTTCCCCAGCCCTTCTGATAGCATCAGTGCCCACACAGCCCCTGATTTCTGCCTAGCAGGACTTGAAACAATTAGCACTTGGTCCACACTGGTGTCTCAGAATACTGGAGAGGTGGGGCCAGACTTGTGGCATGATAGGTTAAGTGGCAGTCTACAATGCCAGCATCTTCCATGGGCACCGTTCACGTCTCAGCTACTCTTCTGATCCAGCTCCCTGCCAATATGCCTGGGAAAACAGCAGAAGATGCCCAACTACTTGGGCCCCTGCCACGTACTTGAGAGACCCAGATGGAATTTCAAACTCATGTCTGGCTTGGCCCAATCCCAACCATCATTACCATTTTGGAAAGTTAAAGATTCTTTCAAATAAATCTTTTTTTTTTCTTTTTCTTTTGACAACAACAGCAACAGCAACGAAATTACATAGGTTATAAATGAGGAACAGGAAGAACCTGTGTCCCAAATGCAGATGCAGGAGCAGGTTTGCACTCAGGCCCTGAGAATTGGTTGCAGTCAGCACGTCAAAAAATATGACGCCCACACTATGTGATGCAGATGTCCATAAGAAGACAGGGAAGGTCAGGGATCTTCATGGAAAAGTAGAACTGTTATCAGGATGACAGGTTGCCTTCCCCCCTGGCCTCCGCTCTCTGCCTCTCAGCTTCCTGGGAAGAGCAGCATCTCAGTCAAAATGAAACTACAAAATACCATTTTTGTTAAAAAAAAAAAAATGAAAGATTTCAAAGACATGCTGTGTTAGTGTTAGCCTTAAAGAGGAGACTGTGCCTTTTCATTTACATGGGAAATTGAAATACAGGTTACGGAATCTTGAGTTCCGTCTTCTGAAAAGACCATAGAATGTGGTGCAAGGTCAGACTGGCATGAAATCAATTGTAATCTGCCAGCGAGCCATTCTAACCTCCTTAAAAGTTTCCCTTTATATTTTTCCCTTTATATAGAGTGCAAAGCACATTTAAAGAAAGTCTCATCAAATCAGAATGTCTCTCTAATATTATTTTTTTAATTGGTTGTTACTGTAGTACGACCTAAAGCTTCCTCATATTTAACCCTCTGTGCACCTTTGACTAATGAACAAATTTTTTCTGTTATAGCTGTCTTGCTAAATGTCTTTTATGGGGTTTAAAAAATTACACAGTATTATGAAAACCTCAGATTTCTCGACCTAATTTATTGGCTGTTGGTGATGCCATCTCTATAACTGTAATGTTCCTTAAGTGCACAGACCTAACTATTTTTCTCCCTTTTATATAGCAGTTCCATTTTATAATGACATGAAGCCTTTCTGAGCGATGCATTTCTGGACAGTTATTGCACTTGGGTAGAGAGTGTCATCTGGCTTTTAGCCTTGTGCCTTACATCTAACCAACATGTAAAATGATCCCCCAGAAAATAGACTGGGCCTTTACCTCATTACTTTAAAATAAATCTTGGGTTCTGATTGTGTTTTAGAAAAGATTCGGTAGGTTATAACATTTGATTTATGAATGCAATTAAAATATAAATGACAAGCTCTGGGGCTAGTCAGTCGGCCATCTGGATTGTTCAGTGTTTCCACATCCTCCTATTGTGGTCAGGAACCCCCTGAAGAATTTAACACCCCTGAATTCTTGAGGGCAACCCCCAGGGTTTTCATTTCACCTGTTAAGAATACTTGAGTTTCTCTTTGAGCGCAAAGGAAGGGAGGCAGATTTTGTTTCTTAAGTTTCCATCAGCCCAGAATGGGTCTTGGCTCAAAGACCTTCTGTTTAGTTATTAGGCTGGACATTATGATAGTTTAGCCACCCATGGTCAGATAATATGCCTATATATATGGTGTGTCGATGGAAGAGGTCATTTTCCTGTGCAACACAAGCAAGGTTGATCTTTGTCTTTTCAGCTAGGTAACCATGGCAGCTGTGTCCAAAAAGCCAATGGTAGGTGTTTCTCCAGAAACTAAAAATAGATTGGGAAAGCCAGTTGTCAAAACCAAAGGAATCTTTTCTGTGACTTGGTGTGTGATTTTTTTTTTTTTCAGGTATAGCAGGTACTTAGCTTGTTCTTCCTATTTTATGTGAGTAATTGACAACTGGTGAACAGCTCATTAGGAACATAAAAAAGCATTTAAGTAAAACAAACTAGACGGCACTGAAGAAGCAGGGTGGAATAGATTTTTCAACACTCTCTTTGTTATTAATGAAACTTGAGTATGTAAAACCTTTAATGCACCTTGCTAAAAAATATACACTTTGGGTCGGCTTATAAATTACAGGAAGAAAAAAGTAGGACTTGCCACTTGGCCCAGTAAGCATTCTGCCTCTCCTAATTCATTGGCCAACATTAGCGGTGCATGAGAACATGTCGCCCCTCCATGAATCAGAGATTAGCCTATTAAAAATGGTGTATTTCAGCCCAAATTTAGGGCTTTAAATTTAGCCTCACCCAGGATGCTTCATGGATAGACAGACAAGGTCCTCTACAGAGGAACTCCGAAAGCACTGCTGTTTCTGAATGTTATTACTCATGTGTTCAGTGAACCTTCCTTCATTATTCTTATACATATCAGTGTGTGTGTGTGTCACACCAATAGACCTACACGGACCTCACCCAGGGGTTGAATTTGGCCTAAGCTGTGGTCAGTAGGTCTGGCAAGTAGTACCCAAAGGCTCTTGCTTCATCCCAGTAGCTGAGTCAATTCAAGGTCATCCTTGTTATGTGAATTTCTGTCTTTAATGACTACTTTCCCCACTCAAGTGATCAAGATCTCGAAACCTCTCTGCCTCTTTGCCCTTAAACATTTCCTTTGCCATCTAGTCCAAGAATAGAATCGTTTTACTTGCAAGGGTCAGCTGCAGTCTGTGGGCCTATTAACTTGGTGTTCTTAGCGCAGGGACTTACTGTGCAGTGCACACAATTGAGTGTACCAAGAGGCTGTAAAAAGAAGGTTTGGACTACCACACGATGCTAGAGGCCCCAAAAAGGAACTGTGATAGGAAGGGTACTATGAAATGCATCTAGGCAATAGCCACAGTGAGAGAGGGCTTGCTTGTGCAGCATGCGGGAGTGTGTGCAGGATGAGAGTGGTGGAGCCCTGCCGTATGCTCTTCTTCTCCCTTATCCATAGGATGAATGTTAATGAGCCAACCACTGCCTGTGAAAGGCCACGGGCTGTTGTTTAGGTGCTGTGATCGTCTGAGAAAGCGAAACTGTAGTAAATTGTTTTGACCTTTCAGCCAAATGATGTCTTGACCTCTAACATTTATTGCTCCTTGGGTACATTTCCAAAAATATACATTTACAGAGCCATAGCATTAAATGAGAAAAAATGATTTAGGGATTAATGACTGGCTAGTTGGAGCCTAAGGAGAATACTCTGCTAATTCCTTTCAGCTCCTGTGGTTGACTGTGTTTGCCTATGTCTGCATTCATTCTGGCTTTGTTGGCTTGCTTCCTTGTTCTCTTCACTGCCTCCCATTCGTCTCTCACACCCATTCCCCACACATGCACACACAGGACAGTTTTAAGTGGTGAATGGAAATTAGAACACTTGCATCACCACCTAAGTACTTTACTCCATTAGGAAGCTACGCTTAGCTTCAGTGATGGCTTCCTTTGGGAGACATTCTGAATCCAAAATCTGTGCTTCTAGAAATTCCATGGATTGTCTCCAATTTATATTATCTCTGTGACCCTGAACAAGCTGCTTCATCTGTGGGTCCCACAGTTCGTATCCCCACCTTTGAGCTTAGTCTACCACCCCCGCTGGTCTGAAGGACTGAGCAAATGCCAGTTTCCTTTCTTCTTACACTTTCTGCTTGCACTGAGATGTCGAAGAGTTTCGTTAGAGGTCATCAAAACGTCCCAGTTTTTTTCCTCCTGCTAAAGCCATTAGAGTGGAATTCTGAAGTTCTGCCTTTTCCATTTGAAAACAAGAGCATGGAAGAGGCAAACATATTAATATGCAGTGTCACAGTGTATTGTCACAAAGTAATATATGATATATGATAAGATGTATCAATTCTGAGCACCACAAATATCTGTGGCTTCACCTCAGCATGAAGGCAAATGAGTTTCCTTTAGCTTGAGTGAGTTTGGAGATAAACTTCAATGTAACAAAATGTATTTCGCAGGAAATGTTTGATGTGGCACAGTTGGCTTATGAATCTCTTATCTATTCGCAGTTCACTCCTTGGAGTTATTAGTCAATTTAATTTGAGCAAATGCCAAAATTACTAACTAATTAGAAGGATGTTCCTGAAAGCATGTGAATGGGGAGCAAGTCAGTGCTGGTAACATGGGGTTTGCAGCAGCGTGAGTGTCTGATTTTGCCTGATGATATCATTTGCTAAACATTATACTTTGTGTTGTTGTCACACAGATAAGCCTCAAGTGCATATTCAGATGACTTATCCTCTACAAGGCCTCACCCGGGAAGGGGACGCGCTTGAGTTAACATGTGAAGCCATCGGGAAGCCCCAGTAAGTTCTGAAGGCCAAGGTTGGCAGAGGGTCGAGAGCAGTAAATGTCAGAACACAGAGATGTGCATTTACAACTCATTGGTCTGTCACTGGTCTCCTGCTGTAAAGGGTGGGAGATTTTTCAAGAAATGCAGAATAATTGTGAGAGGCAAAGTAAATAAATCTCTAGGGTTCCTATTCGTCAGGATTGGGAGAAAAATTGAATGCCAGCTAAGACCGAAATCTCAGCTAATTCTATTTTATTATCATCAGCATGATTGTCAGGACTATTTTTTCTCTCACACACAATCCTAATAAATTTTTAGTATGCCCACAATCTAATGATGTATCTGCAGCCTTCTGTGCTGATGTCTAATCTGCTACAAAGATGCTTTTCAGACTTAAATTAAGCTGCTGTGTTTAGGGCCAGCTGTAGGCAAATGAATTCACCCTACTTTTAATTTTGCCATCTTCTTCCCTCAAAGAAAAGTGTCAGACTTGACTCTTAGAAATATTTCTGTGAGTAAAGAAAAAGCTCAGGAACTTTTCTCCAGGAAGCCGTATATGCCATTGCCTCGGAGAGCCAACTAAAGTTGTGATTTGGTTAAGCAGTCTAAAGGAGCTATTTTGCTGCTCCCTACCAAACAAGCTAAAGTGAATTAGAGGAACTGCTTGCATCAGCACCAATAGGGGAAAAACGCCATGAGGCAGTGCTACTTTGAATCCTACTCCGGTTTACTTTGGGAAAGAGAATTTTTTCCCTCTTCCTGGTGAATGTCCAACTGCCTTGGAACAAACAACGTGGAATGCTGAAATACATGAGCAGGTTGATGTTGGGATTAAGGGCATTCAAACTTGCACTGGTGCTAAACTACAAAAACAACAACGAAAACCAGTGTTGAGCTCCCTCTGCTGTCCCTGTAATACAATTTTGGTTTTCCATGCAGAGTTTGCTCACCAGCATCGTCAGAGTTTTTATTTAAGAAACTCAGAGCACCTCAAAAAAGCTCTGGATATCTCTAGAAAGAATTCACCCTGGTATTCCGGAGAGACTCCTGTCTGTTACATGAATCCAGGGAGCCACCAGGGGCTTTGGGTCCCATCAGTTCCTGGGTCTCCTCTCCGGCCTCCCTGTCTTCATGCTACCTGGCCATGGTCTGGAATTCACTTGTCTCTGTGCTAACCGTTCCAAGTGTTAAAAGATTGCTTTTGGGTAATCTTTGCTCTGTTTTGCTCTCCCTGCGTTATTTCAAAGTTACTTGGTTTTGAACACTGCAAGCTTGTATCTCTTTTGAGCACTGCAAAAGATTCAAATCTTTGTGTAAACTGTCTGAATTATGCCCTAATTAGCAGCTAGTGTTACCTCTGAAACAATCCAATTGGGGGGAAAAAACACCCATTCTGAATCCTCTTACTCTTTGCAATACCTGTATTCAGTCACATTAGCCACATTTACAGTATAAGGCTTGCTACCCTATATTTTGTTTCTGTGTTTTTTTCCCCCCAAAGAAGGTACCGTGTTCAATTGAATGTGCCACGGGGACAGTAAATTACATGTTTCCTGTAGGACGTTTATGCTGGAGAGGGTATTTGTTTGTTGCTCTCAAATAGGAATGGGTATATGGTTATATGAGCAAGCACGCATTACTGGGCTGCTATCCCTTCTAGCATATTACCTATTTATTTTCTCAAGAAATTGCATACAATAAAAATGGTAATTTAACTTGCCATTAAATGTTGTGAATATTCTCAACACTTACCCCTACTGCTTGTTTCAGCTGTCAAGCAGCAGGACATTAGGTCTGATTGCCAGGCAGACCCATTTGCCACTGCCTACCAGGAGGACATATGTGTACTAATTTTTAAATAATTTACTGAGTTGTGATGATAAACCCATGTGTAATTAAAGAAAAATTGTAACTTCACATCCCATTTGAAAATTGGAAATGCTGCTTGACAGGGCTAACTTGAGTGGCCACTCTCCAGGAAAACACAGGTCACTTGTTGCTCCTAGACGTAGCAGGAGAGGCTGAAAGCAAAGTTACCTCTGTGTGAGAATCTGTGCTGTCCTTCTGTTTAAACAAGGGAAGTTCCCAGACACAGCACTAGATGTGGCCTTCGTGCAGAGGAGGTTGAGGGCAAAGTCTTGAGGAGTGGGCTTGAAAGATGCGTGATGTGTGTGCGTTGTGAGCTCGGGAGCATTGTGTGCAATTTACTTTTTCCAAACGGAAGCACATGCGGTTCTCTGAATCTCTAAGACAAACTCCCCTCTGATGAGCAAGTGCATAAGGGCCTGAGGAAACCATGCACTCCGCAGTGCTTACCCAGAGCCACAGCCTTGAATTTGCAGGCCTGAGATGCGCACACGGGAAAGGATCTCACGATCGGTGAGTCTGGCAGAACCAGTAAAGAAGGGTAACTTTCCGAGAGACAGATGTGGTGACCACATGCCCATGAGAACGGTCACGTCTTGAGTGGGTGGAGTCAGGTATGCGAAGAGAGGTCAAGGGGTAGAGGAAGTGATTACACATCTTGCCAGAACCAAGTGGTCGCTTTTCAAATGACAGAGGCCAAAATAAAACATTGTTAAAATATGAAAGTCTTTCTTTTTGGTGGAATTCAATATTTGTTTGAATACTGAGTTGCTTCCAAGCAAGGTTCTTGGTATGTTAGTAACCATCAGATTAATACATGTCTCACTAGCCAAGAACTTGACTTTTTTTCCTAATTAATGAGATGATTAACAATGGCTGAGCTCTGTCCTTTCTGACTTGGTGTGAAACCACACAGCGGGGTATAAGAATAGGCTACATTTGATAATCTACTGATTGCGGAAGATGAATTAGAAGTAATAAGACTCCCACTTGTGGTCTGCTGAGAATTTTTTAACACAAGATCGCGCTTTATTTTTATTATTATTACGGCATTCTAAACAGATTTTTGGAAGCTTCACGGATTTAAATCTGCGAAGTTAAAATATCTCCAGTAGGTCCTCTTTAATTATGTCACCCTGCATGTGACTCATTTCATGCGCGAGTGAGAGGTTGGATGCAGCTTCCTGGTAGGAAATCATAATGCGACTCGTCTCTTTCTGCTTTCCTCGGCAGGCCTGTCATGGTAACCTGGGTGAGAGTTGATGATGAAATGCCTCAACATGCCGTACTGTCTGGACCCAACCTGTTCATCAATAACCTCAACAAAACAGACAATGGTACCTACCGCTGTGAAGCCTCAAACACAGTGGGGAAGGCTCATTCGGATTATATGCTGTATGTATACGGTACGTGAGAAAACACACCACTCCTTCTGCTAGACTCACTCACGTGTAGCTGCTCCTGGGGATTCACTCCCAAAGCAGAAGACCAAATCCCGATTGATTTCCTTCAAGAGCTTAAAAGAAGCCTGTGGCCTGCCCCGCTGGCTCCACCTGGGACAGCAGTGACTCCTTCTCTGGATTTCCCACCAGGTCATAGTCTCTGGGCATGCTGAGTAGGAAAGCTGTGTCCACAGGCACAAGCTATGAAAATTATGTTACAAATAATGGCTGAAAATTTCAGTCATATCAATTAGTGCTTGTCAGCCTGGGACGTTTATTCCCAGTGATATTTCGCTGTGAGACCCAGGCTAGCCTTCCTCCTGCTTTGATGAACGTAACTGTTCTGTTTTCAGTGTGAAGCTGTTCCATTCCAGAAGGTGCTGCAAGCCAGTAGAGTCAGACCAAATCAAGGTTCTTGGTAGCTACATAACCCACTATCACAATTGCTTTGGACACAATTTGTTTTTAATTTTTAATTTGTTTTTTTCTTAATATCTTTTTTACAGGGTCATTAGAGCATATTGTTATGAATTCTGTTCCCTAATCAACAAATATTTATTGAGCATCTGCTGTGTGCCAGGCATTTAAACTTATTTCCCACTTTTACCTGATTATTGATTTTGCATATGGTGACCATTCTCTATTTCATTGAAAAGTGCCTTTCTCCTAGCCTTTTGATGTCTGAGTTTCCTCTGTAGTATTTAAGCGTCTCCGTTAGTTTTATACCAAGAAAAAGAACTACGAATTGACACTGTGCTGGATGAGCAGCAGGAAGCATCAGAGTGTCAGCGTGCCATAAATAGTTGAATCTGTGCAACTGCGAGGGCATGTCTTTCCCCATGTCAGCCTTGTAAATAACCCATGTCAGTTTCTATGTAACTATATGCATAGTCACGCATACATTATACATACAGGGTGTTTACGGAGTATGGCTCATAACCTGGGCCACCTGGGAGTGGGTGACCTTATTCACCAAACAGAAGCGTGCTGTTTATATCTTATCTACATGGATAATATAATACATAACCTGCACCTAAGTTTTTCCTCTTAACATAATGCAAAGTTGAAAGATCGTGTCTAATCACTTTATCTGTGGACTGCTGGAGTATGTTTTCTTTGCACATTAACCATGTTGTCTGTGGTCCACACAGAGGAGCACGCACAATTTCCCCAGTAGTTAAGGAAATCCATGTGATGGGAACAGCTTCCTGGGGATGGGGTGTGGGGGTCAGGGTAGCCTATCCCATTTTTCAGTTGGCAATCCCAGGACGCTCAGAGCCACCTCCCTTACACTGTTGAGCAGAAGTAGCAGGGAATCCTTGCTCTTTTTCTGCACAGGTTTCTTTCCCACCAGGAGCCGGACCTCAAGGAAGGCCCCTCCATTGCTGTTCATTGCCTCTGGTACAGATGTTCAGTCTAGAGTTTTTATAAACTATGGATGTTAAAAAGCAGTGACAAATTTCCACCAGTCTACTATATGCTTCCTTGATTCAGAAGACTAAGTAATCTGGAAAAAACGATTTTTGATTTGTTGTACTGACTGTTCCTGCATCACGAGATGAGAAGCGTTTTGTGGATTTGATGGACAGGCATATTTGAGTCTAGCCTTTATTGAGTGCTCTCTCTGTTCCACACCATGTGGTGACAGTTTTATTTGCATGACCTGCCTAATCTCCACAATCGCGCCATGAGGTAAGCATTAGCATCATCCCATTTTGTGGATGACAAAATGAAGCTTTAAAAGGTCAGGCAGCTTTTCCCAGGTTCACAGGTTACTAAATATATTCTTTGGAACTGTGACGCTTGACTCCAAAGTTTACACAAAGTTTGGGTTTTCTTTGTAAATCCTCTTACTCTCACTGCTTTCCACTGAAACATTTACCTCCAGTTTAAGATAATTTTCTTGGAATTAACTCTCTGGCCTAGAATGAATTATTTAAAACGAAGAAATAGGAAGACCCCCTGTTTAGAAAAATACATCTGCACCCACATGTCTTCTTAGCATTAGAGGGCATGCCTGTCCTTGTCTAGGGATTTGATAGATCAGTACATTCTCTCTGTTCCTCCATCTGTGCTAACAAAACAGAGTGATAAGATAGAATACCAACCTGAGATGTTGTCTATTAAAATATTTAGCAATTTCTGAAGATGGTAGATAGAGTTGATTTTTTAAGATGTATTTGATAAGTGGCAGGAGGAGAGAAAAAGAATCTTCCATTCACTGCTTTACCCTCCAAATGGCTGCCATTCGCTGAGGTTGGGCCAGGCCAAAGCAGGACCCAGGAACTCGGTGCAGGTCTGCTAGACAGGTGACTGGGGTTCAAGTATTTGAGTCATCATCTGCTGCACCCCAGTAGCAGAAACAGAGTAGTCAGGACTTGGACTGGCACGCCGACATGGGATGAGGGTGTCCTAAGTGGTGCAACACATTGCATCACATCGCCCATGCTGCAGTGGGTAGATTTTCTTTCCAAAGCTGATTGTAGTAATTTCTGAAATGCTTTATAAACTAAAACTGGACCTGTCTCTGAAATACTTAATTCTCTGCAAGTGACTTCTATATGGCCAGAAGCTAGAGAGTTAGTGCTTAAGCCCCAATTTGCTTTGGTTTTTGAGCCTTTACATATCAAACTCAGCTTATTAATTGCACCTGTATTTTCTTAAATAGTCTCTTCAAATTGCCGTTTTATTTCTTTATTTGAAAGGCAGAGCTACAGAGAGCTAGAGAGGAGGAAGAGACATGGAAGACAGATCTGCCTTCCACTGGTTCACTCCTAAAGTGCTCGCAGTGGCTGGAGGCAAGGGCGAAGCTGGGATACACCAGAAAGCTGCCTCCTTCATGTAGTTGTTACAGCTAGAAATAAACTCAGCATCAATGTTATATCTATCAATGGAATCAATTCATCTAGGGTATTTGAGCCAGAGATGAAGCACAAAGTTGCCCAGCAGAGATGAAGGTAAATGAAAGTGTATGATTTTCACAAATGACAGGGACTTTTCCCCGAAGTCTGCGCCCTCACTAGTCTTGTCTCCCTCTCCATTTGTAATCATAGTTACAAATCACCTTCAGGTGCACTTCAGTTGTGTTGTGGACGTCATATAATTTGAGCCAATAGTTTTAAAAATAGGTATGGAAATGGCATTATGGCATAGCAGGTGACATGTCCCACACACAAATTTTTTTCTCAGTGGTAATAGCATAATTGAAGCAGAACAGAAAAACATTAACTGTCACCATGCTGGACATCAGGCACCTGTCTGGATAGAATTGTGCAGAGTAGAGGGAGAAGGGTGTCTTCACTGCCAGGCCCAGGGGTCCATGCACCCAGTTCAGCCATCTCTCCACTGGTAGCTGCAGCAGCTACAGGTGTGGGTTCATGTAAAGGAGTTGCCACATCACAAAATGGAGGACCCATCTGTAGCCTCCATAAAACGTGCCGCCATGCAAGGCTGAACGGAATGCCTAAATCACAATGTTTCTCATCCTGTTCTATTTTTAAAATGATTTAAAATCACTGATTTCACCATTCTACTTCTTGGAACATAATGTTTCATATGAGTTATTAGAACAGAAACCTTTTTAAACTCAAGTGAGGCTGCTTTACACTGCAGCTTAAACTTCTTGAGTCCCTTATCTAAAGTAGCATAGTCTCCCATAAAACAGAACAGCGTGCTGCTCATTGATTCCTGTCAAGTTCATACACAGGTATTTGTGTAAAAGGAGCAGTTGGTGATGAGAATTAAAAGCTTGGATTGTTACACAAAGGCACAAATCTTTCTAAGCAGACTTCCCAACCGAAAATCAGACTAATGTGTTGATAAACTTTTGCGAAGTTGGTACCAAACCCAGTTAAAGGTGCAGTATATAATTAAAGTTTTGACGTATTAATTAGACAATCTGAGAGCTCACTTGAAGATAAAAGGACACTAGATATGTCAGGCAGAAAAAGTTGATGTGCTTTAGATAAGATTTAAAATCAAAAGCCTTCAAATCGTCTTAGACTCTATTATAGCAGAATGATTGCTTAGTTCAAAGTCTTTGCTGACAATTTAACACATTCAGTTTGATCATTTGGGCTTGGAATTTTTTTTTTCTCTTTCATATTTGCCCTTGCCTTATCCCCAAATAATTTTACAGTGCTAGAAATATTACAGTTTATATCAAATATTCGACAGAGGTTTCCCTATCTGGTTGCTGGCTTTAAGGGTCGAGTTTCATTGCTGTTTAGTTCTCTTGTTGACAAGATGGAAAACGTCCTTCCAGTTTTATCATTGTAGTCCTCCTGGGTCAAGCTTTTAACATGAGCAAAGGCAACTTATTAATATTTATAGGTTGTAAAATTTATTGACTTTTAAAAAATAAAATCTCAGTAAAATCTCACATGCCTGGAACTTGATATTTAGCGGTGACATTCTCTCTTCTTTGTATTTATTACGAGTACAGAAGTAGTTTTACTTCCTGCTGGGATGTATTGATGGAGAATAATGAAGTTAACAGTCCTAGGGAGCAAGTGTGCAGGGGCACGCTCATCCTTGCCTGAGAGGAGCCCTTTAAACAGAACAACACCCTCTCCGCTTCTTCCCCCACAAACCCTACAAACTGTAGCAGTGTCAAGGAAATGACAGCCTCTGTATCCTCTTGGTACAACTTGATTTAAGCTCACCTTTAAAATCTGGTGGGGGTGGGGATGTTATATGTGTTGATTTTTTTTTTTTTCCTCACTTCTCTACTTCACATCTCACCTACTTCATTAATTTTGAAAAATCTCTTTTCTTCTTTTCTTAGCTCTTCCAAATAAGGCTTTGGAACAGTTACCAGACAGAGATCTCTGAAGGGAAAGAACTTTTGGTTTTAAAGGGGAAAGTCATCAAGCAAACATCTCAATGTCCTCATGCTTCTGTTTTGTCATTACTGACCATTGTTGTGTTCAGCATTGTGGGTTTGATTTTCCTTTTTTTTTTTA